TGGAAACTTCAACCGGTCTCTGACACCAACCGTCGCCACTCGAAGGCCGATAAATTCCACAAAAGTCAACCGATCTCCCTCAAATTCCACCTGCGAGAGCGCTTAGCTATTGCCTACCCGTTCCAGCGGCAAAAGTTTCCAAATTCCGCTGCATCGATACGAGAGCCGCTCCGTTTTACCACCCGTTCTACCTAATCGCTTTGTAGGTACGCGTAATCCTTAGCCTTTACTACGGGATTCAAATATGAAAGTGCATCTGACCAAATAAAAAACTCTCCGGGGGATCGTTAGGAAGCGATTTAGCCAGAATGGGTGGCAAGACGGAGCGGCTCTCAGATATATGCAGCGGAATTTGGAAACTTTTGCTGCTGAAAAGGATAGGTAATTGCTAAGCGCTCTCGCGGGTGGAATTTGAGGGAGATCGGTTGACTTTTGTGGAATTTATCGGCTTTCGAGTGGAGACGGTTGGTATCAGGGACCGGTTGAAGTTTCAAACCTTGAGTTTTTTGAATACACCTTTGACCGGTAGCACTACACGCGTTACAAAGAAAGTCGCCAAAACAACGTTAAAAGGACCGTAAACGACAAAGAAGCTACGGAAAAGAGGAAAGGAGACTTCATACGATATATTTCTCGTTTTTATTTTCCTTTCTAATTTTTTCTTAAGTTTTTCATANTTTTTAGTCCTCATGGGAGGTTACACTTTTCCCTTTGTCCCACGCTCGTTGGAAGAAGAATGACACATTACAATAGTTTGTAATAAATTTTACATTCTTCTTCCCTTTTCAGTTTATCATTTTCCGGTAATCAGTCACAATAAATCTCTATTTCCTTTAAAGCTACTAAAGCTGTTTTTTACAAATTGTCGAATCTCACGATATCTCCAACAATACACAAATGGATTTAAAGACGAATTGAGGAAAACCAAGAAACCAGACATGTTGTAGGCGACTTGGAACGATGTGTTTGAGTGATTTACCATCAAAAGAGTACTTGATAATAACAGTGGAAGGTAACAGATAAGAAAAACGACATACACGTAGAAGGTATTCAGAGCTGACTTCTCTCTAGATAATTGGACAGCATTTTGCTCTTGAACCTGGCACTGAGTTTGAATTTGATTCTGATGATATCGAACGAATCTGTAAAGATAAAGATATGCCACGGTTGCGATAGCAAATCCCACTAGTTCAATTATAACAGTGATCAAGTCAGAAAGGTTCGACCGCAGTAAGATAGACACTGATGCTCCAAAAGCTGCAGCTATCCAAAGTAAAAGAAAAATAATTCCTATTCGCTTTGGCGTTACAAGCTCTTGATACCTCAGATGTAAATACACGGCGAGAAGTCTGTCCAGTGCAATGGCGGTGACAGTCATGAACGATGCACCTGCCACCAAAAACGTAAAGAATAGTTGAATCGTCAGCACAGTCGGACACAAGAACTGACTGCTCCTCTTACTCAAATGCAGCGCAATGATAGCGCCGTAAATCGGTTGTAAAAACAATCCCACTGCAAGGTCAGAGACAGTAAGACTTAGAAGTAGTTTTTTGAAAGTAGGTGGTACCGATACGGCTTTAAATATGGCCCGTATTGCAAGCACATTTCCAACAATCGCCACCGGAGAAAAGGCGAAGTAGAACACACAAAGTGACCACATCAATTGATTATGAAGGGAGACCGTTTTGGCAACTTCATTCAGTCGCCTCTTGCATTCTTCTTCAAACGTGCCCATGTTTCAACTTCCAACCCTAACTCACTTGTCTATCATTTATTACTTGTCAAGGCCGATATGCAGGATGTCCATGTTATTATCTTCTTAAGTAAATACCTCACCTGGCGACCAATCGCAAAGCAAAGTCAGTTTAGTTATTTGAGGATCTCCACCTGTTTGGCTGAGATAGATATATTACTCTGTAGTACTATGTAAACAAACTAAGCTTTCCATTTCCTTAAAGAAAAGGTATTAAGTGACAAATGAACAATCAAAAAATGTATACATTAACTTTTGCCGAGAAGTGAAAAGCATTTGGAGGAAAAGTTTGTCAAACTCACCTTATATTCTTGACATGGAGAAAAGGAATTTGCCCAAAAGAACAAACATTATAAAAGATATTCTAACTTATTTGTCAAAAGAAATGGTAAGGCCAATCGCAACCAAGAAAAACAAATTATTCATTTGTTTGAATAAAAACAAGAGCGGCCCGCTAATTAACAATTGGTTCATGCTTTAGCGTGCACTATCGAGTTATGGAGCACGCGGGAAGTTTGGAGAGCACGTAAGAAGCGTAAGAGTTGCCCGAGGCGATAGCCGAGAGCAACTCTAGCTTCTTGAGTGCTCTCCAAACTTCCCACGTGCTCCATAACTCGATAGTGCACAGCTGAAAGCATGAACCAATTTTTTTAGAACATAGCCGGTGGAATTGTGCATCAAATGCGACGCGAAAAACGGACAACAATATCAGTTGAAGCGAATCGTGACGGCGCTGATGCCGATTCT